GAGTAGAGTAGAGTAGAGTAGAGTAGAGTAGAGTAGAGTAGAGTAGAGTAGAGTAGAATAGAATAGAATAGAATTCTTTTATTGGCCAAGTGTGATTGGACACACAAGGAATTTGTCTTGGTGCAAATGCTCTCAGTGTACATAAAAGAAAAGATACATTCGTCAAGAATCATCAGGTACAACAGTTAATGACAATCATAGGGAACAATAAGCAATAAAATCATACTAGGAAAGAGTCAATATAATAATCCTTGACTTACAACCACAATTGGAACTTGAACCTCTGTCGCTAAGCAACATAACCATTAAGCGAGTCACACCTGATTTTATGACCTTTTTTGGTTTGGACATTAAGCAAAACATTAAGCTTGATTATCCTCATCAGAGGCCTCTTGGGAAGGTTGCAAAGGATGAACTTGGACCACCGCAACCATCACAAATACATGCCAGTTGCCAATCACTCACGTTTTGGTTACATGGGACACTGAAACATCCATATGCACGAGGATTACTTGTAAGTGACTTCTTTAAGCATCATCATAACATCAAACAGTCCTTAGATGAATTGTCATAATTTGAGGACTATTAGTGTCAAATGTAAGCTCTATTTAGTATGAAATTAAATTTGATTTAATTCTGACATACAGTAACGGACAGAAAATCATGGTTCATTCCATTTGAGTGCACTATCTTTTCTAACAAGTGGCACGTGGGTCCAAGCGATAAAGCCCATACAGCCAGCAGTAAACTAGACAGTGTTTAAGGTGTGTCCATATCGCACTTTTCACCTCATTCCTAGATTGATTTATTTTCTGGGTTTGCTCTATAATCTGAACCATAAACTAAGCAAACAACTGAGAAAGCTCAAAGTGCCGAAGGAGCTGCTGATACAGTTCTACAGAGGAATTATTGAGTCTGTCATCTGCACCTCTATAGCAGTCTGGTTTGGCTCTGCAATCCAATAAGACAGACCCAGACTTCAGTGGAAAATTAGGGCTGCAGAAAAAACAATTGCTATCAATCTGCCTTCAGTCGAGGACCTGTATACTGCATGAGGCTGTGAAAGTATCTACAGACTCCTCATATCCCAAACATAAACTGTTTCAACTCCTACCCTCAAAACAACACTATAGGGCACTGCACACCAGAACAACTAGACACAAGGACAGTTTTTTCCTGAATGCCATCCCTCTGCTGAACAAATAATTCCCCCAACACTGTCCAACTATTTACAAAGTCTGCACTACTATTACTGTTAATCTTCTCATCACTCCTATCATCCAACCCCTCCCACTTGTGACTGTATGGCTGTAACTTAGTTGCTTGTATCCTTACAATTTATATTGACTGTTTCCTAGTATGATTTGATTGCTTATTGTACCCTATGACTATCATTAAGTGTTGTACCTTCTTGACTCTTGACAAATATATCTTTTCTTTTATGCACATTGAGATCATTTGCACCAAGACAAATCCCTCATGTGTCCAACCGCACTTGGCCAATAAAGAATTCTATTCTGTTCTGTTCCATTCCATCCCGTTCCATTCCATTCGATTGTATTCTAAATTTTCATTCTATTCTATTCTATTCTGTTCTGTTCTGTTCTGTTCTGTTCTGTTCTGTTCTGTTCTGTTCTATTCTATTCTATTCTATTCTAAAAAAAAAAAAACAGCCTGGATTTTCCCAAGGTTGATTAATACAGAGCAAAGCACGATTATCATTGTGTTCATGCCTCACACTGAACAAGTAAAGTGCTAGGTTTGTAGCCTGGTTGTATTTCCTCTGTGAAGTTGTTTGGCCGAGTATCCCCTAAGTAACAAGCACTGTTAAAAAGATTGATGTTCTTCTTCCCGTAGCATTTACCAAGTACTCTTTCCAGATCCAGCAAAGTTCCCAGGTACACCTGATTCTCATTATTTCTAGCAATGACTGCCCAGGATCTTTTGCGATTGTCTTGAGACACACAACAAGCGGCAGCCCAGATATGGCTGGGTATGTTCACTCTGTGACTAGTGAGAAAATGACTCCCCAGCACCACGCCCACGAGGACATATGTATCACGGCACCCTATCGTGTATTTCTTCATATTGCTTTCATATTCTGCCCATTTTCCTTGATTGAGTTTGTGAAACTGGGGCACGATGTTGGTTAAGGTGAAGGTCGCAGCTTTGCTATCCCAGTCCGGTTGATGGAGCACAGGTAACAAATGTCCTCGGTCGTATAGAACAGCCTGTTTGTAATCCTCAGAAACAGCCTGGCTGTTTTTGAGGAGCTCTCGGTCAATTTTACAGGTCTTTTCCAGTTCCATGCTTTTTCGGCTACGCTCCTTAGGCAGGGCAAGCTAGGAATACGGAAGGACAAGCAATGGGCTTGGTTAGTATTCACACAGCACTGAATCGGATACCCTGAATCTGGGGGAATGATCTACCATGAATCAGCCAGGGAGTGGGTTATACAATACTCTATAATAGAACTTTGCCTATTTGGTTGAAGAATAGAAATAGAAATAATAGAAATAGAACACAATAGGGAGCAGAGTAGAGTAGAGTAGAGTAGAGTAGAGTAGAGTAGAATAGAATAGAATAGAATAGAATAGAATAGAATAGAATAGAATA